ATTACGTGATAAAGTTGAACCGTTAATTCTGCATTATAATTTACTAAGATTGTAAATTGATCAGATCATCAATTTTATTTTATTGGTAAATCGATTTTACTTAAATTGTAAAAAAGAGTTTTGGTCTAGATTTTCTTGCGTATTTTGTGAACTTGAGTTAAGTGATCACCGATTGATTTGAAAATTTATTTGCTCGGAAAAGAAAGGGAGGAAAAAAGCTAACGAAGAATTACGTAACTAACAAATTTGAACTGGTAATTCCTTATTATAATTTACTAAGATTTGAAATGGATCCCATCATCAATTTTATTTTGTTGGTACATTGTTTTTATTTAAATTATAAAGATGAATATAAGGCTAAATTTTAGAACAGGTTTTGTGAGCTCAATTTACGTGATCACCGATTGATTTGAAAATTTATTAGCTTGGAAAAGAAAGGGAGGAAAAAAGCTAACGAAGAATTACGTAACTAACAAATTTGAACTGGTAATTCCTTATTATAATTTACTAAGATTTGAAATAGATCACATCGTCTATTTTATTTTGTTGGTGCATCGTTTTTATTTAAATTATAAAAATATGAATATAAGGCTAAATTTTAGAACATGTTTTGTGAGCTCAATTTACGTGATTACCGATTGATTTGAAAATTTATTAACTACGAAAACAAAGAGAGGAAAAAAAATATAGAGGAGAATTGCGTAATTAAGTTGAACGGTTAATTCTGCATTTTAATTCCCTGAGATTGTAAATTGATCACATCAATTTATTTTATTGGTGCCTAAATTTTATTTAAAAACATCTTTACAACGAATTTAAGGCTTGCAGTATTGTACTTAACATATTAGATGATTAATGGCACTGTGGTTAAGTCTAAAAAGCAATAATCAAGCCAATGAGGTTAGAGTCGAAAAAATTGCTTGTTAGTAAGANTATAGGTAGGTACTTTATTTACGTAGTGACGTGTTTACCGATTGATTTGAAAATTTATTAGCTTTGAAAACAAAGAGAGAGAAAAATATATATAGGAGAATTACGTAATTAAGTTGAATGGTTAGTTCTGCATTATAATTTACTAAGATTGTAAATTGATCACATCAATTTTATTTTATTGGTGCCTAAATTTTATTTAAAAACATCTTTACAACGAATTTAAGGCTTGCAGTATTGTACTTAACATATTAGATGATTAATGGCACTGTGGTTAAATCTAAAAAGCAATAATCAAGCCAATGAGGTTAGAGTCGAAAAAATTGCTTGTTAGTAAGAAGTTATACCCAAAAGTTTAAAAAAGGAAATCATAGATCTTATGAGTTATATTTAGACAGTTATTTATAATTATGTTTACTAAAATATTACTCGATCAGGACAATTAAATTACAGCTTACCACAAAATTAATTTCTATACTATTTAAATTACAACTTATCACAAAAAAACTGCAATACTATTTAAATAATAAATTTTTATGTAAGGAATTTTCTATTGATATTGCAATTTATAGCAAAATGAATTTGCTATATTATTTAAAATAACTTATCTATAAAACAATTCTTATAATATAAAATGAAATTATAAATGAAATATATTTAATTGTAACCATGCATAAAAAAAAAAGAAATGCATACCTTGAAATTAACATTTCCTTAGTGATTACTTTATTAGGTTTCGGTGTAAATTCTAATAGAACATCAGGTGAAATCGACCTTCCAGAAAAGCCTGGAATCAGAGTGGAAAATTTCAAACAATTAATAAAGTTTTCTCTCTTATTATCATCAAAACAAATTAGAAAAACTAAGTAATGATTAAGTTATTTTTCAAATGAAGAATATAAATTTTTCCGTAATAATATACTAAAATATCAGTAACTGGAGATAATTTTAAGTCCTAAGATATATTTTGATTGAATGTTATTTGTTCTTTCTTAAGCATGAGTGAATTAATAAAACTAATTTGCCTATTAAACTTAAGAATCCTTCAAACTTCAATTGCTTTGTGTTACATTGTTGAAAATAAAGAATTTTATCTTGTAGTTAATTTTTTTATAATTTTTTTCAAAAAGCATTGAAGTAAGATAAAAAAATAAAATATGTGAAATATGACGAAAATTAAATGGACTTAATTTAAAGGTGTAAAGCATAATTTCAAAGCGTATTTGGAAGAATTTCAGGTGATATTTTGATAGCACCAAATTTTTTGGAACATGTCTTTATCAGTTATGTATCAATTTAATATTATTATTATTAATAATATTAACAATAGAATATCAGTTTATTGTTTCAACTGTTCAAATAGGGTGGCTTTTAACAAGCAAAAATATGTTTTGAAAACTTCTTCCCAATATTTCTGTTTAAATTTGTGTAAATTTTAAGAAATTCACTTAATATGTTTTTCGATTAAGCTCTTTAACTATCGTGAAGATTACATTTTATATATAAAAATATGAACGTATTCCAAATGGCATTTGAAAGCACAAAATTCATAAAATCTAAAGTAATTTCACTTAACATGTTTACATTTGAGTTATTATAGCAATATAATTTTTGCTTTTTTGCATACCATAGTATGAAATAAATTTTTGGAATTTAAATTCCTAACTATTTATTTGGTTGAATAGTTTTTTTAATACGCTTTATAAAGATAAAGCTGTCATTCCAATGCAACCATATATGGAGTTATGTATTCAAATAATTTAGTTAAATTTTTTTTTAATCAAAGGCGAAGTCTACAATGTCATAAATGGAGTTGTGATCGCAACTTAACGCAAAACGCTTCGGGCTCGAAAAGAATCTACTTTTCGGCGTAATTGAATCGAAAATTTCCTGTCATTGTTTAAGACATAAGATCTTTCAATATTACTTTCCCTCAGTCTATCAACCATTTTTTTTTTAGATTTGTCGGTTTTCAGGTTAGTCCCTCCCCCTTTTGCCGTGAACTAGAAAATTAAGACTCAATACCAGAAAAAGATACTAGAAAAATGATCAGAAACAAAATAACTCCTACTTTCACTTTTCTCTTGTTTTTGTTTTGATATATTACGTAATCCCATTTGAGGAACTGAGTTGAGCTTTTCCGTAAGATTGCTTGCTCTGAAAACGAGGCCGTTGTTTGATTCGAGTTTTTCTTTGACATTGTTATCAACAATGATAAATTCATCACTTGAAACAGGCTAATGTTTTAGTTTTTTCTGTTTCTTTTGTCGTTTCCGTATAACAGAGAAAAGGAGGAATTTTAATTTAGATAAGGGATTAAAATAATGTACTTATCACTGCCCATCGCTCTGTGAAAGTTCTTTTCTTTAAATGTAATTAAACATGCATTGACTATAATTAATGTTTATAGAAATTTTAGACTGAAATTATTAATGCTTATATTACACTGTTAGGAAATTTTTAGCACGTTGATATTCATTATGCGCGTAACTAAGTATGTATTAACGATAATTAGTTGTTATAGAAACTTTGACTAAATTTTTAATACTACACTCTTAGAAATTTTGGATCGTAATGAAATTTGATGAAAGTATTTAAGCATACATTGAAGATAGTTAATGTTAATTGAAATTTAGCCTAAACATTTCAATGCTACTACACTGTTAAAAATTTTGCAACGTCTTGAAAATTTTAATGTAGGTTACATTTTTGACCACATTAATATGGTGCTAAGTTGAACTATATAATGGTGAATAAATTTTATTACGCAATACTATGGCTGAATTTGAGCGGAAAAAAAATTGAATTAAGCTTAGAAATTATCAATATTACAAGAGAAATTTTGAATTTTGAACCTCAACTTGTTTTAATCTTAACATGGTGCTGAGTTGTACCATATTATCTTGCATAAACCTAATTACTCTATACAATGTGTCAACTTGAATGGAAACATGGTACAATTAAACACTGTATTAAAGTTGTAGGAAATTCGTACAATTTAGGAAATAGCACATGATTAATCATACTTAGTCAGACTAATTATAATTAGCATAATTAATCATACTTAAGTTCAACTTTGCTGCAACTTAAATCAATTAAGTAAGCTTAAACCAGTAGTTAACCTGAAATTTGCTTCATATGGATCTAAGTTGAATCATATTATCGTGTTTCTTAAACTTGATAACAAGACATTCTGGTTCTACTTTAGAGGAAAAATGAACACAACACACACCTTCTCAAAGTTGAACCATTGTTCAACGTTGAACTGATTTTTTTTGAGATTGCATGTAAATATTTTACTATTTTAATATTTTTTTCTCGTTTTTACTTATAAGCAAAAAGTGACAATTGTTTAGTCATTGTTTTTTGATATTAAAATCCGGTCATAAGAGTTACCAACTACTGCGCCGTAATAAATAAAATTGTTTTGCTTGAAATAACGTATCGTGGGAAAGGTCTTAAATATAACTCCATGAAAGTGTCACAATAATTTTGAACTTTCTAAAACCATTGGGATATAAAAAAATTAGTTGAGTAATTTTGGAATTTTATCCCATTAGATATTAAATACCGATACGATGTTCTACGAACATCTAATTCTCAGTGATTTTATTCCGTTATTTTCCATCTTCATGAGGTTTGGCAGTACCTCCACTATATTTACCAATAGGGACCACCGCAGTAATTTTATTAGTCAGAACAATATATGTAATTTAAAAATTCCTTTTAATTACAATTGCACAGAAATTTGGTCTTATGAACAAATATAACTATAGACATGAATAAGTTATTATTTTTAAATGACACTCAAGATGTACTAAATTTTCTTTATACATTATATTACATTACAGAGTTGCATCTTCTTATGCGTTATAGAGTATATAATTACTGTTATCTTATAGAGTTGCATCTTTTTCTGATCCAACTCGAATGCACTTCTTGTAATTTTTTTTAATGAATATTTCAGCTAAAAAATATATGTAATTAAATGAGAATTTTCTTTGAGACTTTCAATTTTATTATTTTTTTAATATTTATTATTAATACTAACTTATTTTTATTTCTTTTAGATCAAAGCTTTACGGCAGCTGATTCAAACAGCAGCTCGACAACAAAGGCTTTTGTACCGTGCAAAGTATGCGGTGATAAGGCTTCGGGTTATCATTACGGCGTCACTTCTTGCGAGGGTTGTAAAGTAAGTCAAATTATTTTTCTTTTCTCATTCCGTATAGGTAGCTACTTTATTTACGTCTCACTAGAGCTGCACAACGAGCTATTGGCGACGGCCTGGGAAACTCCCCTGAGGATAATTCGATGACATGCCATTGCAATTTTGATCCTCTGCAGAGGGGATGGCTCTCCTGCTTTGGTAGCCATACGACCTGCGCGAAGTTGAGCACTTTAAGGAAGAACAATTTAACGAGGACCGATACCGGGCACCCTCGGTCTCTAAGCTGGCTGATCAAAATCATCACCCACCCACTTACTGACCTCAGTCAGTGATGCTTGATTTCGGTGTTCTACTGGGAACCGTGTCTTTACGATCAGTCAGTCCACTGCGGGACTCCAATTCCGTATAAATTTGGAATCAGTTTTAAATCAGTACTTCCTAAAGTGGAAAATAGATTGATCGATCATTTAAATTAACCTTATATTGATGTTAATCGTATGTCTATACACGTTGACAATCATCTGCAAATTTTATCGGTTGTTTTGAAGGATAGTTTTCTAATTAGAAAAAAAAATTGATTTTCCATTTTGAATCATGCAGCCAGTGTTAGGAGGTTTGTCTGATATTTCAAATGTGCAGTATCAATAAGCACTCGCTGAACTGCAGAATGATGAATTAGATGAACTTCATTAAGTATAAAAGAAGCAATGGCATGATTTTCTGATAATACCAAAACCAAATATTCAAATGCAACTAAATATGCAAGAAAACTATTTTTACTGTTTCTATCTTTATTTTTATTGTAGATTTAGTGCCGTAAATGATTTCCTATTAAAAAAAAACTCATTTGGCAGTACTAAAACTGGGAGATTGTGGAATGAAGTTAATTAAAATAAAACCTGGCATAAAATCTCTTTGCAGTACATGCAAGAGTCTCACTAAATTTAAGTAAATAGTTACTAATGATTAAAATAATATATAAAAATCTTTTATTCATTTTTTTCCATGGATTTTATTCGTTATATGTCATGAAAATTTATTTACTGTGATGGTTTAATAATTGCATAGCGATTTCTTCATAAAACATATCTATTTTAAATAGTTAGTTAATAATTATCTATAGTATATAATTTTAGCTTAAAACCACTTTATATTAATTAGATTGCTTAAATTATTTAAGCTTAGTAGTACTGAAATGCTAACATAACGTAGTTTAATAATTTAAACCTAGAAAATTGTTTAAGATACTGTATTATGTTTTATTAAATGAAAATTCAGTGCGCAGTTAGTAATCCAATTACTATTTTAATGAGTCAATTGTTTAATAAAATAGTGTTTGATTTAATTAATGATTTAGTGAAATAACCAATTAGTTAGTGACTTATAAGTAGTTTGTTTAGATTGCGATGTAGTTAATTACTGAGTTAGTTTGGAAAACTATTTAGTTAATTTAATTTGATTTGGGTTTCTGTTTTAAAGAAATATTTAGCTAATCATTTTGCTGTTTGGTTATTCAGATAGGGATTTAGCGTTTTAGTGTACTAACCGTAAATAAATGAATAGTTAAATTAGGTTTTAGTACGTTGTCTCAATGTTTAAAAAAAAATTACTGGTTATTGATTTTAAAGTGATTAATTACTGTTGTTGCTTATTAAACATGTTTGCCAAATAATTAGGCTACAATCGATACGAAACTCGTGTCTAAGGTACAATACAAGAACTAGATAACTTTAATCAAACAAACTAGAAATATTTCGGCTAAACTAAATACCCCATTTATCTCTATTAAGATGATAAGGGTACTTTTTTTCCCATATTGCATTTTGTCATAGAGAAAGACTTGTTAGAATAGTAAAACGAAATATTTGAACAAAAACGTTTCTATAGAACACTTTCAAGAAATGAGTTAAATTTTAATTTGGATTTCTTTTTTAGTAAACAAGAAGTTGTTCCAAATTTATAAGCGTAGTAATATTATAATTTAAAATTAAAAAAAAAAGTTTGCAATATAAAAACATTAGGGTCAAAAATGGCTTAAAAGTAAAGCATTTCCGCAACAGCACGTTATGTGCCCGGATGGGTAGACATGGAATGTTATAAGGGAAATAGTAGAAGTAAAATAATTATTATCGATCGAGAAATTTATAATTTAAAACGTAACAAATCGGGGATTGAAATGTAATTTAAATGAATTAAAATTGATCTTGAAATTAAAACTCACTGATTAGCCTTTGGAAATTCTAAGGTAATTGATAAATTGATTTTAGACGAATAGTTCCTAGCGAAATTGATTTTAATGTAGCGAAATAAAGGAAGCTGACACTTGTTAAACTATGGATTATTCATTTTCCTTTTAAATTATGGAATATTCGTTATTATTTTTACTTCGTCATTCCTGTTAAAATTGGATTATTTGTGAATTAATTGTGTTAATATGTACAGTGTGCAAAAAAAAAAAAGAAGAAAAAAAGGTAAAACAAGGATCACTTTGACTGGCGATATCAGACTGAAAAACGTTATGTGTCTGTAAAAACATATAATTTTTTTTTAACGGATTCTGATATCCGACCCCCAAAATAAAGAGGTTAGCTGCAGTTTGGGAAATCTTTTCCTCATAGAGAACTAGAGAGCAATCTAAAATTTTTACCCCTTAATGTTAATTTTCATTTTAATTTCGCCATATTTCGAGATCTTTTCAGGCGAATTAAAAAACAAATTCGACAAAGTTACGATATTTATAAATTTCGTAACTTTTAGTAAATATTTATTATTTGTTATTATTCTATTCAATAATAATCGAAAAATGTTTGAATTGTAAGGCAAAAAATTTCGTACATCATTTTAAAGAATGTTGTTTTACATGGCAAAATATAAAACTTGGACGAAATCGGTTGAATAGTTACTGAGAAATCGAATTTCAGAAAAGTCAATGATTAAATCATTTGATAATTAGATCAAATGGTATTCAAGGTAGTCCGTTATTATTATTATTATAATTTATTTTTTTTTTTTTTTGCTTTTTGTACAATTGCAATAATATGAAGCCCTGGCATTATTTTGGTAAGACATATTATAGAATATATTATCATGCTAGAATTTTTTTTTGAGGATATGATTATATTTCTGAATCAATACGAAGTGTCAAAAATGTTCGCAGTATTTATTCTGAAAACCCTTAAGAGCTTAGAAAACATCTTGTATTTAAAAGAGATTTACATTTTATGAATACTTAACGATATTTTTATGAAATATCAAAGCTGGTTTATTCATTTTTTATGAAAGCATTCTTCTAAATATATAATCTTGATGCTGCCGTACCTGTTTACCAAAACAAGCGACAGCTGTTTTGGTTCCAAACAACCGAAGAACGAAATTTAATAGGAATATAGAAGCAGGTGCATAAAAAGAACTAGTGAGGTTTTTTTTTAACTTCAATTAATGCCTAATAAAACCCAAGGTGCTTTCCTAAATCGAATCAAGTGGGGATTCTCCAATCTTATTATTTTTTATATTTTTAGTTTAATTGTTAGTGGTTTTAGTAGACTTACGGGTCACTCCATTTTTGATCCATAAAAACACATTCAACAGGGATAATCATCACTCATGATGTGTATCTTTTTTGTTATTTCATGAACAATCATTTTGATGAATTATAAGTTAATTTCTGTAAACTTTAAATAAATTTATCATCTACAAACTATAAAGTAAAACTTGTTAACAATCAAATAACCTCTTCTAAGCTTTTTAATGCCACCGTATGTTATGTATATCTATACACATGTAATCTTTTTATATGAATGTATGTAGGATGTGCATTAAATTTTTTAAGTAAATTGATGATGAATGATTGAAATTTGATCATCAATAAATTAGATCGATTAAAATTTAAATTAAATCTTTAATTAATAAATTTCCTTTTCACCTAATAACTGAAACTAAATTAGTGATAAACAAATAACAATTTCATCTATAAAAATTAAAATTGGATCATCAATTTAAACCGGGTTTATTAAAAACTGAAATTTAGATCATTAATTATTAGATCTTCATTAAAAATTTGATTAGATTAAAAATTAGATCTTCAATATTGCAAGGGTTTTGTGATGTATTATGTTATGGGTAGTAAAATGATGAATTAAAAAAAATGCAGATAGCCTGAAATTATACTATCTAAACAGACGTTTAAATAAAGCCACATAAATATTTCATGATTTTTAATTTATGTGCTTTGAATATAAGTATAATCAGTTTTTTATGATAATAATTACTGAACTCAACCTAATATTAAGATTAAATTTCTCTAAATTTAGTAGCCAAAGTCACATAAATATTCATGATTTTTAATTTATCTACGTTGAATATAAGAATTATAATCAGTTTTTAAGATAATAATAACTGATCTCAACCTAATATTAAAATTAAATGTCTCTAAATTTGGTAGCCAAAATCAAATTTAATTCTTTCAGCTGGAAGACTACCATTACGTTCTGACAAAAAAAAATAATGACGTAATTTCAACTTTTTAATTTTAGCAATAATGAAATATAATATACAATAGTAATATAAATAATATTTGTTTGACATTATTTTTCCATTGCACACGAAGTTGTATTGCATACCAACACCGAATCCCGCTATACAAGTAACCGAATGTTCGAGTTGTCGAAACTAAAGCACTGTATCACTAAAATTCCATAAATTGTCTGTGACCGCGAATACTTTGACAGTTATCGGCAGTGAAAAGCGTGTCCTGGTATAGCGAGGCAAAGCAAAAAGAATTTCAAAATGATTTTTTGCCGTAAGAGTAAACTATCCGATATGTGGCCTTTCTCTTTGAGTTTATTTACAATCCATCTGTGTTGCAATGTTGACGTGGATGTGCTTCGCATGTGCGTAATGAACACTTTCACTTTTGTTGAGAAATATGTACTTTCTCTTTGTTATCATTTTATTGATGTTTTATTAAGCTTCATTACTTCACATTATTTCGCAGCGATTTTTTACCCACATCTAGATAGTTTCGT